AACAGTGTTCTGGTCGAATTTGAATCGTAAATTTGAATTTTTTTTACTGAAAAACGTATTATAGGGGTGGTTCTAGATTGAACCGCCCCTACAAACAAGTATTATAGAGTCGGCTGGTACTACAACCGTCCCTACAAATCAGCCGCCCCTACAAATCGATTTATAGGGGTGGCTGGTAATACGAGCCGTCCTACAAATCGATTTCTAGGTGCGGCCTGGGAACCGCCCCTACAAATGCATGATTTGTAAAGATGGTTCGGTAGGAGCGGCTGGCCAAACCGTCCCTACAAAGGGTTACGAGCCGTCCCTAAAAATCAATTCTGTAGTAGTGTCCGACACCGAGAGAGGCTGGAATTGGAATCCTCATTGTCAACATGCAGGTGCAACCAACGCAGACAATGTACATCAAGGCAAAACTATCTGCATCCACTTCGGTGCTTATGGCTGAGGCTGCTGCCCTTGCCTTAGCAGCTACTAGTCCATCACACGCGCCCTTGCGCGCGCCGGCCAATCACCTGGTTAAGGCACAGGTAAAAAATATGTTTAATATCTGTATGGAAACAATATCATGAGTTGGATGTAGATATCTATTGCACAAAAGCTGAAAGATTGGAGCTCTTTTTATATTTAATACGGTAAAAATATTCATAATTCTAAACATGAAATGGTTGATGTGGTAGATCACATTTGCTAGCAAGAACATAGAAGCCAATACAATAAACTATTTGAGGTCTTCACACTGCATGAGAAATGAGATGAGCTCCCAACTACTTAGACACAGGATTGGCCTATTGCCGTACCGCTAGAGTAGACTAGATAGGTAGATGGACAGCAATAGATGACCTATTGCCTAATCCCTGCTGCAGCAAAACAATCAAGCGGAGCAGCAGATTATCTTACACAGATTTCAATTCTTTGATCTATCTGTTGTACTGTTTGAAAAGTCATAGTCCCCGTGGTCACAATTTGTTCACCCATTCATAATGAGCAATGGTTTATCAGTCAAGACAGATGATGTATTTTCATTTTCACAAACAAGACAACAATGTCACACAAAGAAGCATTTTGCTTCGATGATTCGTAAGTTATCAGGAAGCGGTCTAATGGCCATATGATTTAGTTCAAAAGGCCACATTCCATAAGTTCATAGAGAAATCCTGCCTTCACAAGCAGGCCCGTGAAGAAGGGAGCTGCACTAAACCAGAATTGATTGGCCTATTAAAAAAGGAAATCTACAGCTCGAGTATCGTTCTTCCTAAAAATAAGCGTCATTTTAAGTTGTGCTCCACTGTGGATTAAGTTAGTCGGTGGAAGCGTTGTGAAATATTAGCAAGATTTTGCTGTTATTGCTCTCCCAACAAGATGCTTTAATCTAAGTGCTGCATCCAGATTTAGAAATATGAACTGCTCTTGAAAAGGAACAAATCCAAACAGATCATCTAGTAATGCACCTTTAAACTTAAATGAAATAAACTGATGTTATGTTCCAGCCACCATAAAAATCCCGCTTAGCGTCGATAGATTAAACAGGATGTAAAAAGGAAAGGAAAACAACAGAATCGAAAGCAGTAATAATTCAAGGCATAAAGAATTCAGGGAGAAGTCCACTAAATCATGTTTTTTACCAGAAAAAAAAAGCATACACAGAATAGAAAGCAGTAATTTTGTAAGAAACAGTACCATGGCAATGCTTATTAAACTCCTCCATATCCTCTTTGCTCGCTAAGAAACCAAATAGCAGCCTTTTCCCAGCAGGTACGAATCTAACCTTGTTGTTGAGCTGCCATGCATTCCTGTCTTTACCTTGATTAACAAAGTGCCTATGCAGATGTTCAGCTTCCATGTAGCTGACAGCTGAGCTTTCAAATATTAACACACTCATACCACGGTGCCCAGAGGGACCATAGGCATGAGGTGCTTTAGTTGCTGCATATTCTCGAAATAATCAAGGAGCTCTTTGTTCCCCATGCCCTTCCACTAGATTAGGTCAAAGAAAAAACAGGAATCAGAATACAACACAACTTAATTGTATAGCCCTTGAAGAGCTATAAAGGACCTCTTCTATAAGATCTAAGCAGCATTATGATCCACACTCAGCTCAAAAAAACTGTGAGCACACAATGTATTGAACGCAATTAGCTATAAATAATAAAGAGGATCAATGTGGTCAAGTCAGAATGCACAAGACAAGAATATAATATCTAGGTAAATAAACATAACACATTATTCATGGTAACTGATCCACTTAGGGAGCATATTGCACCTTTGTACAGTCAGATCAGATGCTCTAAGAAGATGCGTAAGTCTCAAGTTATGAGTAAAAGGGATAGAGGGAATCCAAATGCAAAATATGTACTTAGCATTTCACAGGGGGCATTGAGGAGGCCGTGCGGAGGACGGCGTCCGGGGGGGGCGTCGCCTCACGCTCACCGCCGCCTCGGGAGGGAAGGGGAGAGTAATGGGAGGGAGGGCAAAGGAGGAGGAGGATGGGCGCTGCCGCCGCGGACCGGTTGCAGTAGGCGGGCGGCGCTGGCTGCAGCGCCACAACAGAGCGGAGGGAAGCGGAGCAGCGGGACAAGACGCGCAGGAGGCAGTGGGCAGCGGCGTCGTTGGCCCACGGTCGTCCACCACGGCACCAACGGCCATGGCCTCTGGAAGGTTGTTGCCTGCACAGATCAGACGGGAGGACAGACGGATCCGGCCATGGAGGCACCGGATCCGCCAGATCCGCCGGTTTGGGCCTCTGCCAGCAAGGCAGACCAAGCCGACAAGGCTACATCGACGTCCGTCCCCGGCGCCGGCGTGGGAAGGGGAGGGGGAGGAAGGGAGAGAGTGAACCCTAACCTGCGCAGCGGCCAGGCAGTAGAGGGCAGTGGCCAGGCCTCCCACGGAAGTGCCGGCGGCGGTTGCGGCCCGCGTCGCCCTGGCTGCGCGCATCGGCTGCCGTCGTCCTGTCCGCATCGGGAGATAGAGGTAGCAAGTGGAGAGGAGAGAGCGGGGGGGGTTGCACGGCGTGGGGGTGTGGTGGGGAGGGAGGAGGAGGCGGCCGCACCGCGCCCGCCACGGCCGCGCTCACAGCAGGGTCGCCATGGTGGCATGGATCGAGAGGGAGAGAGAGAGAGAGAGAGAGAGAGAGAGAGAGAGAGAGAGAGAGAGAGAGAGAGCGCGGAGAGGAGGAGGGCGTCGGGGTCGGGGAGAGACGGCGAGGATTTCGCAGCGGGGGCGAGGTACTGTAGCAATCTACGGCGATAATCTTTACCGTCGACCGCAGGATCGGACGGCCAGGGAATTTCAGGCGACGTGGCCACCCTGGTGGCGGCCAAAGTCTCCCGGTTTGATAATAAGAGACCGCCAGCAAGGTAGACCGAGCCGACAAGGCTACATCGACGTCCGTCCCCGACGCCGGCGTGGGAAGGGGAGGGGGAGGAAGGGAGAGAGCGAACCCTAACCTGCGCAGTGGCCAGGCAGTAGAGGGCAGTGGCCAGGCCTCCCGCGAAAGTGCCGGCGGCGGTTGCGGCCCGCGTCGCCCCGGCTGCGCGCATCGGCTGCCGTCGTCCTGTCCGCATCGGGAGAGAGAGGTAGCGAGTGGAGAGGAGAGAGCGGGGGGGGGAGTGCACGGGTGGGGGTGTGGGGGAGGGAGAGGAGGAGGGCGGCTGCACTTGCGCTGGCCTGCCGGTGCGCTCCGCGCACGGTCGCCATGGTGGCATGGATCGAGAGAGGGAGAGAGAGAGAGCGTGCGCGGAGAGGAGGAGGGCGTCGGGGTCAGGGAGAGACGGTGAGGGTCTGTAGCAATCTGCGGCGACAATCTGTACCGTCGACCGCAGGATCGGACGACCAGTGGAGTTTCGGACGACGTGGCTACCCTGGTTGGCGGCCAAAGTCTCCCGGTTTGATAATAAGAGATTGCTGCTGAATGCATGAATATTCAGAGCATCAGCTTCCTAACCGACTGTGAACAGCTAGTTCGATTCCTCAACACACAAGATCACTCCAATCCTCCTGATTGGAGAATTAAGCACTTCACACAAATATTCTCTAACCACTCAAGATGCAGGGACTCAAAGATCTTCAAGATTTCTAGAAGACTGAACACTATGGCTGATGCTTTAGCTCGCCAAGCACTCTCAGATTCTGTAGCTCAGTTTCAGTCTTCTTGCTCTTATGAACATCATGCAAGCCTTTGCACTGTTCAACAGGCTATGGAATCTATATACCTGAGCAATGTAACGCTTCTCACAGCTCGTTGCTGTTGAAATAAAGTTGTTTGTTGTAAGAAAAAAAGCCGGCGCATTCTTCGACACCCACAATACAAGGAGCTAGCGGAAGGTTATTAGCCCATGTTTAGTTGGGTGAAAGTTAAAAATTTGGCTACCGTATCACTTTTGTTTTTATTTGGTAATTAGTGTTCAATCATGGACTAATTAGGCTCAAAACGTTCGTCTCACAATTTTCAACTAAACTGTGCAATTAGTTTTTTTTCGTCTACATTTAATGCTCCATGCACATATCGTAAGATTCGATGTGATGTATACTGTAATACTTTTTGGAAAAACTTTTCGCGAACTAAACAAGGGCTTAACTACCCTGAGAAAGCTGGCGAGAGAGCGACACCAAATGGCAAATGCCAGGTTGAATGAAACCAACAATAAATGACGCAAAGGATTACATGTTTATTTAAGTGGCATGAATCCGGTGTGAAATTAATTGATCGATTCGTGCAAGGCCCCATCGATGTAGCCTAGGATTAATGTTTATTTAAGTGGCATGCATCCGGTGTGAAATTAATTGATCGATTCGTGCAAGGCCCCATCGATGTAGCCTAGGATTAATGTTTATTTAAGTGGCATGCATCCGGTGTGAAATTAATTGATCGATTCGTGCAAGGCCCCATCGATGTAGCCTCACGGCCCCACCTGACCTATAAATACCACCAAGCTCCGGCCACCTGAAAAGGCAAACCACGCGCTCTCTCTCTCTCTGTTAATTAATTATCGACGGCCATGAGCAATAACTCAAACAGCAAGAAGACGTCGTGGCCGGAGGTGGAGGGGGTGCCGGCCCAGGTGGCCAAGCACAAGATTCTGGCCGACTGCCCGGACGTCAAGGTGGACGTTCTGCCGTACGGCTCCGGCGTGACCGATGACTACGACACCAAGCGCGTCCGCGTCTTCTTCGACTACTTCCGCAACGTGGTTGGGGTCCCCAAGGTCGGCTAGGGCCAATAATTTTAATTATTATAATATATATATATAAATACATAAATAAAAGTCCTCGTCTCCGACTGCCATGCTCGATCGAATCAAAACAAACCGATGGTGGGTGATTTCAGTTGTATGCATGTGACGAGCGGATTGTAATGGTTTCGTAGTTTCTGTGTTATTTCTGTCGTATATAAAAGGGTGGCTATGTATGTACCTCGATCCTGCAGAGGTTGAAATTATATAAAACTACTTCTAAAATAATGCTTTTTATATTGTTTACTGCTATATATTGGTTTTGTTTAATACAGCTCTGCTTCATCAGGAAAACTACTTCATGAGCAACTTTGTGAGTGAAGGTGAACTGCTTTAAAAAAATTATTTAGCAAAACAACTTCACCAATAACCTCATACATAGCTAATAGAGGGAAATGAGGGGGAGAGACCTGAAACTGAAAAAAAAATTCACATCTCTCCATTCCTCCATGAGAGCATAAAAAAGATACTTCACCCCTTGAGCTGTTTTGAAAAAAAAAGTGTTTAACATAAAAATTATTCACAACAGCCCATAGAATTGTTGGTGAAATTATACCAAACAGGCTCATAGTCATCTTTCTTTTGACTTTGAAGATGCAGCTCGATCTACAACCTTTATAATACTAATATAACAGAGACCAGGTAATAAGAAAGAAAAACCAACATGTTTCTTTTTTCAGTACACTTTTTACCAAGCAGAACCTGATGAGTAGCATCCTCCAATAGAATTCTAACGAAGTAATTGAGTATATTCGGTTGTCGGTTCTATATTGTAAGACCAGTCAAAGAAAAACTATTCTAACAAACTATTCGTTAGACCTTCTCTTGTGCAGCAACATGTTCACCTAAGTTAAGTTCTAGACTTACCCCTCCATTCTAGAAAAATTGATGTTTTAGGATTCAGAAAATGCCCTAACAACCTCGATGTTCTAGCTCTTGAACAATAGATTAGACACATATTAGCTTTAGATTGTGCTTTGCATGTCTCCATACATTCCTTTTAGGCTTGTATCCACCTCATCCACATGTGTAGGAGTGGATTGGCTAAAATGGAAATTAACCTAAGTTCTACCTTAATCAACTCCAACACATATCAAGGTGCATTACGAGTGCATCCAAACAACGCCTTAACGATATGATGACTTGTCGGGGTTATAATCCCTGAGTGTCTAAAGGCACCCATTAATTAGCAGGCCAAGCGGCCCACGACACATCAGCTACCGAAGGCCCGAACGACTGAGGCCTAGCTGAGCCAAGCATAACAGGTCTGACGCCGAGGCCAGGGTCGGCCGCGACCCCTCCTTCTGCTTTAGCCGCACGACGTGCAAGAGACTCACGACCTCTCCGCCGTTTCGACCCCTGGGAGGAATGGGGAGAAGACAAGACCAGCCAAACATGCCCGCTCTGACAAGAGTAGGCACGCCGTACTGACCTCGCAAGGATCGAGGGGGCAGCGGTCACCTCAGTCCAGTGCGCTACGTAGCTTAGACAAGACAACACCGTCCAAAGCGGTGACGGCCGGTACGGTGCCCATGTTGGCATTTCTTAGCACAATCACCAAGTATGGAGGTTTCAAGTAAATTCCCGATAATGGCGTTAGAAATCTCTGTTGGTATTTCTTAACACCATCACTGAGATTGAGTAAACCTTAGCGACACTGCCAATAAACACCAACTACGATAGTTCTTAACGATTACAGAAAATATCCGCAAACGCACGGATCTATCATTGTAGCATTTCACCCCGGAAGTATTCAGGGTATCGTTATTTATATTTTCCTAAAGGATGGCTAGGTATAAGAGTCTAGCATGGCATATGATCAAGATTACATACTTGCATAGTGAACCAATAGTTCATGACAGGGGTAAAAATGGTATTTCAAGGATAGTGGACACACATCTGAGCCAACCTCAAGGATAAAAGGAAAACAAAGAATAAAAAAATATTCCTAAATGGAGCCGGCATGGTAAAAAATAGCCATGCAAAGAACAGTTAATGATCATACAAGTTATATGACTTAAAGCTAGAACTAAGTTTAAGGTAGGTCGGGAGGCCACTGAGTACTGGTCTGCCAGCAACCTCATGTGACAATTTAGACTCCTACACCCTACCTGAACGTGGGGGATTACAAGGGACAGACAGGGCTATCACCACCTGTCGTCTACCCCTCAACCAGAGAGTAGGAAATGTATTCACCTGCTCCCATGTACCCGGGCACCACGCCTGATTACATGGAAACTACCCACATCCCCCTGGGACCCCGACCCTATGGATCGACAAGCATAGGACATGGGCACACCTGAAGGCACAATGAACCGCCACCTCAACCTAGCCCTAATTTTACTCATATAAGTCATACGAATGATTAAGCATAAAGTTGAACATGTTAAGGCTCTGTTTGGTTGAGCTGTGGCTGTGGGAAAAAGCTGCTGTGGGCTGTGAGCTGTGGAAAAGCTGCTATGGGCTGTGAGCTGTAGAAAAGCTGAAAGCTGTTTGGTTAAATAAGTATAAAATATACCTTTTATCTTTATCTCTCTTGAAACAACTATGGAAGAGCTTTTTATTCCACCAATTTCGAAAAGTAGAAAGCCAAAAGCCAAAAGCAGGGTCAACCCAGCTTTCAAAAATGAACTACGGAAAAGCAGCTGCTTCTGAAAAAACACCCTCCAAAAGCAGCCCCTTTGGTTGGGCTTTTGGCTTTTGGGGCCAAAAGCCAAAGCCAAAAGCCCAACCAAACAGGGCCTAAGATCATAACATACAAACTATATGCTAGTTCATATGTCAAGATTATAACATGAAAACTATAGTCTAGTTCATATGCACTACTATATTTATGACATGAGAGCATGACTTTGGAAGAAATTCTCTTTATATTCATACCAAGCTTTCTCTCTTTTCTCCCAAGGAGCCAAGCCCTCCTTGATAGCTCTTGCTAGCTCCAAATGTAACTAAAAACTAAAAGAGTACAAGTAGAGAAGTGGAGTTGTAGTGGCTCAAATGTTGTGTGTCTTGAAAGAGAGCTCCACTCCTCTTATAGTGACATGGAGGTCGGTTTGGTGCAGGTAAATTAGGAAACCGACGTGGACCGCCTCTGCATGCCGCCACGCAACCACCAGAGCAAACTGGACCCGAGTGGAGCTAGGGGCGGGCTGCTTCGCTCGCCACCTTCTTGCTCTAGTGGGCTTCTGGTTGGGCCTGGGTTGCTTCCACGTCGGTGCCCGACCCAAGTTTAGTGTGTGGGTGGGCTTTTGCTTGGCTCCTTTGCGCTTTTCTGCTTTATGCTTTCCTGTGTTGCGCCTTTTGATCATTTTTCCATGTATTTAGCGTATATGTCCTGCAAAACACTAAGCATCCAATATATGTGGAAATATGTTAATAGTAAATGCATATGCATCATAAGTTTATTTGATCGTTAGTGATCGGCAACAAATCGTCCAAGCTTAACCTTTGCTCATCCCGAGCAAATAACTAAGTACTTGGTTGTTGATTAGGAGTTGCCACGATGCCGAATATATTTCATAAGTGCCATGCCTATAACAAAGTATTCTTCCGCAATTCAAATAAGTTGGCATTTTTATCCACCCTTTACCTTGATCCCTGTGGGACGTATAGCTTTTCCAAGTTCTTGGACAGATACAAGATAGAATGGTTATAACAAAATCACCAATCATTCATTCCTTTATTAACCATCTATCCGGAGGTTTTATGAATTTTGCAAAATAAATGTAAGTTCCTCAATTGATTCTCTCGATCGCTCAATGTGTATGAAACCTCACCAAAGCATTTAAAAATTTGCCTTCTTTTTCATATCCTACCACTAAAGGCTTTTGAGTGAAGTTTTGGGTAGGTACAAAATGGAGGTATACTTGCACCTCATATTTTGCTAAGTCAAAGACTGGATCTCAAGGAGATGCAAGTCATACACTTTGATCAAGATGTACAAGTATGTGGAATTTTTATAAAGTCCTAATTCTAATATTTTTAGTACTCCTTTGAATCATGAATCTCTCTCTTTTGAATGAATACCTCTTATTTAAAAGTATGGGCTATCTTTATTTCTTTCTTTCTTTTTATTTTTTTTCTTCATGCTCTTTGGCATGCATATTTTTTCTCTCTCATGCCTTCTAGCATGGATATATATATTATTTTATTAGCATAGCCCATACTATTTTTTGGCATATGAAATTTTTGAGAGAGACTCATAATAAACGAATGGATCATAGGTGCGTAATTATTTAGTGGACGAAATAAGCATGTTTTTGCGTAACTCTTACTGTAAGAGTCAGCATTTTATTTGTGGATGTACGTGTGTCTTGATCATAGGTGCATATCGAAAATCTCGATAAGGGTCACAACAATTTGACAAAGCTCAATATAATAACAAGTAGCATATGACTAAGTTTTGAATTTGGATCATATCATATGGTCTTGGTAGGTATTCATAATCACTGAGAAACTTTGAATTTTAGTATTTTTTTGAAAATAAAATCTCCGGATGTCAAGTTTCTCTTAGAATAAAGTCATATCAAATTATATTTGTACCATATCATAACTTGCAACAACTTAGAAAAGGAGCATGCATTTGTAACCTACAAGTTTTCAAGTTTTAGGATGAGATATTTTTAGCCAATAAACTTAAATCTTGGAGAATACTAAGTTACAGCCTAGGCATAGATGAAATATAGACGGAGCAACTATTCATCATTTCAACTTATGAAAAACTAAACATTCTTAATACACATATGAGAGAGAAATTCATATTTTTGGTATTTTTATCATATTTCATTTTTTAGTATTTTTAATGTTTTTGGTTTTTTATTTTTTAAATGCTAATAATCAGAAAATAAATGCGAAAATTTAGAAATACAAAAAATAAAAGATACAAGTTACCTTTGTGGGGGTCCTCCCCCAAGCTAGCTCGTGGCCAGTGACACGATGAGTTGCTTGGTGACGACATTCGAGGTAGGTTATTATATATATTT